GATCTTCTTCCCGGTCTGATTCTCCACCAATGTCTTCCACTGCTTGAACTTCGTGAAAGCCTCACTTTTCTGCTTCATCATGAAAATCCAAGTAAATCTCGAATAATCATCAATAATAGATAGAAAATACCTGCTGCCTCCAATGGATTCAACTCGTGAAGGACCCCAACAGTCAGAGTGGAGGTAATCTAGTATCCCCTTCGTCCGGTGGATACCCTTCTTGGGAAACTAGCTGCGATGTAGCTTCCCAAACACACAATGCTCGCAGAATTCCAAATTCTGCACCTTGGCCCCGCAAAGAAGATCCCTCTTCGACAGAACTTGCATCCCCCGTTCACTCATATGCCCCAATCTCATGTGCCAGAGAGTGGTCATATCTTCCTGATGAACCTGAGACGATGCAACTGCAGCAGAACCAGACAACACAGACCATTGTAATGCATACAAGGTCCCACGCTTCACGCCCTTTAGCACCTTCCTTGAACCTTTGCAGACATACACAACTCCACCTTTTCCTTTAAAACTGAAACCCTTGCTGTCGAGTAGACTCAAGGAGATCAGGTTCTTTGTCATCCGTGGAACATGTCTGACATCATTCACGGTACAGAACGAACCATCATGTGTCCGAACCTTTATGGACCCGATTCCAACAACCTTGCAGACAGCTCCATTAGCCATGACCACGTTACCACCATCTATCTGCTCGTAGGTTGTGAAGCAATCCCTGTTCGGAGACATATGGTATGAGGCTGCAGTATCCAGAAACCACACATCCCCACGATGTGCCTTCTCATCTACAGCCAAGGCGAGATCGTCTTCAGAACTGTTGTCCACTTCTGCCACGGCAACTGAACCTTGTTTCTTCTGTTGCCCTCTTCTCTTGGGACAGTTGTACTTCCAATGCCCCACTTCCTTACAGTTGTGACAAGCATCACCTGGTTGTGGACCGGGACCCTTGGAATTCTTGTTCGAATTCCCTTTACCAGATTTCTTCTTTCCCTTTCCACCTGTAACAGCCAAACCCGATGCCTCACCACCTGTACCAGATCCAGACGCCTTATGCCTGATCTCTCTCGTATGAAGAGCAGACCTGACATCCTCCAACGACACACTTTCTTTACCAGCAATAAAAGAATCAACAAAATTCTCATATGAACTCGGCAAAGAAACCAGTAGGATTAGGGCAGCATCCTCGTCATCAACTTGAACATCTATATTACGCAGATCCAGCAAAATAGAGTTAAGCTGTTCGAGATGTTCCCTCAAAGGCGTACCTTCTTGCATCCTCAAGCTGAACAACCGTTGCTTGAGATGCAGCTTGTTGGTTAGAGACTTAGTCATGTACAGACTCTCTAGTTTCAACCACAAGCCCGCGGCAGTCTTCTCAGCAGCGACTTCAATGATGACGTCATCAGACAACGATAGCATGATGGTCGAGTGGGCCTTCTCCTCCAGGGTATTCCACTCATCGTCATCGACCGCTGCCTTCTTCTGTTTCGCAGACAGTGGCCCCCACAGCCCTTGCTGTTTTAACAAAGCCTGCATCTTGATATGCCATATAGCGAAGATGTTCTTCCCCGTGAACTTTTCGATCTTCATGTTCACCGACGTCATTCTTCTGAATCGAAAACCCTAGCCTGATTTCCAGCCGCGGCTCTGATACCACTTGTTATAAACGCGCTGCTACAGATCGGGAAATCGCAGGAATCGACAAAGCAAGAATACGAAAGCGAGAATCGAAAACACGACACACGATTTACGTGGTTCACTAACACGTTGTATGTTAGCTACGTCCACGGGCGAGAGAGAGCCAATTTCACTATATCGAGGAGATTACAGATTACAGAGGAGTATGAGAAGTATTTATATTACTTCTCCATGTGGGTCTAAACCTAATCCAATCTGGCAAAGGAAATGGTTACAGACCAGGCCCAGAACCCGAACCCGCACCCCCACCGGGGCGTTGCCCTGGACCCCACTCGCTGACCGAGCAGCGAGACCCCCGATTACCAGTCGTAGCGGCTGATAGTCCGATTCAAATCATATCAACAATGGGAAATATTATTATAATAAGAATAGATTATACATCGGGAGTATTTAATAATTTCTCAATTGTAATGACAAAGTAGATTGTTATAAAGATTATGAAGAGCAGTAATTCCGCAAATTGATAGTTGATAATGTCCTTGATTAATACAACTATGTTGTTCTCTGTTCGGGAGCAATGTTTGTGAAACTGTATTGGCGCTCATACCAAAACTCCTTCTATTAAAATATAGACCAATAATCGATTTTAACCATATGAAATTATAATTTTATAAGAATATATCCTACTGTTTACTTTTACGGTACGGTTTCTCGAGAGACACTGACTCGCTCGGAACTACACTGCGAATTAATCCCGACTAGAGCCCAAGTTTTTAAACTCTACCCGGGTGGAGTATAGAGCAAGTATTTAAATTGTCAACCCGGGACGGTCGATGTACCCCTACTTCAATCGCGTAAGTTGTTATCTAGCAAAACAATTTTGGGTTTTCAAACTAAGAAAACTACAAACTAAATAAACAAAGAAAAGTAAATAAAGGAAAATTCTAACTAAGTGAGCTTCACCCAGGAGTTGCTTCCCCCTAACTAGCTACCAAGATTCATTGGATTGAATGGAGTCATGTGGTGTAGGTGGTTGTGAACCAAGCACAATCACCATGAAAACACCTTCTAATACTCAAATTGATGCAAACCCATACAAAATCATTCAATCTAAACAAGTAATTACAAAGTATTAGTTAGGGATCTACAACACCCAAGAGAAAATAGTGAGTTTCTAGAGAGAGAAGAGAGGGATTACAAATTTGAGCTCAAGATCTTCTTCTTCTAGGCATGAATCATTGTCTCCACCCAAGTCTCCAATGATGCTCCAAGATCACTCTAAAAACCTCTCTCTCTCTCTCTCTCTCTCACTAGAACTCCCCTTTGGTGTTTTTGGGCAAACCCTAGAGAGGGGATTGAATTTCTCTCCCAAAAACCAGCTCCCCTTTCTTTCTCCCCACCGTTGTCTTCATATTTGTCCGAAAGTGACCAGTTCACGGCTGCGTTAGCTAGTTCACGGCCGTGAACACCTAAATGCGTCTGTGAACTCAGTGTCGTCCAAAACTCACCTCTTCAATCTCCTAGGTTCACGGTCAATGGCCCCAGTTCACGGTCATAGAGACCGTGAACTCCCTTGGCGTCAGTAACCTCTGAAACCTCGCTAGACTGCTCGATGTTCACGGTTGTGGTCCATGTTCACGGTCTTAGGAGACCGCCTTGTTCGACCATGAACTGCGGATATTTCCTAGACGCCATCACTTCACCTTTTCGGGCTTTTCTTCGGTTTTTGCACTTTTGGACCTCCAATTATCCCAAAACTCGTCCTCGACCCTTCCATACATGTTAGGATCGGAAATGTATCAAAACAAGCACAACCTAGCGTGAAATATGTTGAGGAACGATGAAATATTAAGTTAAACGAATAAGAAATGAGGGGTAAAATGTGTACATTTGGGCTCGAATCACTCCCCCACACTGAAACATTTGCTTGTCCCCAAGCAAACCATTTTCAACCTATGTAATATTTCAACCTTTAGAGATAGCTAGGGGAAATTTCAAATTTCAAAAGGCACAAGGCTGTGAATCTCAAATGATTATTTGGGCATCGACACTCGAATCGTCTCAAACAAATCCGGCATCCACCACTAATGACATTCAATTGCATAAAAAAATGGGCAAATGAAAAGTTCTCATTCTATCCAAAATCAATGCAAGTCCCAACCGGGCCACTAATCAATCAAAATCGACCATGCATAAAACTCAAGTCAACGGAACAGACAACAGGGCAACATAGGTCCTCACCGGGATAGATATGAACATGCAAGAACAAGAATGAAACGCTCACTCTCGACTAGTGGGGTCAGGACCTTTTTGGTGCAAAATATTTGCACAATCGTCACCAATCATCCCTACCATCTCACCACCACGGTGGCAACCTCTAAACGCTAGAGTTCACAGAATAGTTCTAGCTCATCCGGAGGTCTTAGACACCGGTTCAGATGACTGGCAATTGTCTTGGACATGGGGAAATGGCTTTTTGGGTGGTGGCAAACATAACATGAGGTTCCACATCTTCTACCTAAGACAAAAGGTTCTAAGGTTTCGACTAGAACCCTCTCCTATACTCAATGGCCACTAGCATCGGCCAAAAACTGCACTTCCCCCAATTCCAAATTACAACCAATCACCAAACCATGTCACACATACTTTCTTTCTACATTTGCTAGTCAATTCAAGCACAAGAGTGTAGAGGTCAACAACATGTAAGTGTTTCTATAGCTTGCATGCCAAGTGGCAAGAACCACTCTTAAGAGCATGTCCAACATTTATTATATTTTTGGTGGCCACTCTCTTTTTTGCCCATTTATTGATTTTTTTTCTCTCTCTTTTCTTTGAGGTCTATAGAGAGCTAAAAAGAAGCCACATTTTTAACTTAAGGAACAATGCTCACTTTGAAAAACTCCCTCCACACTCACTTCACTCCTTAGCAAAACCATACACAACTCACTCATGTGGAACCTCGTTTAAGCTCAAATGATATGAATGGAGCTTCCAAACACAAAAGTGACTCGATAAACATGTAGACACGAAGAAAGTAGGGTCGCTCTATCTAAATCAATCAAGCTCAAGTAGCGTGAGCTAACTAACTCTAGAACGACTCTTAGACACACGACTCAAAAGGGTTGACTAAGGGATAATATGATCGGGTTGGTCAACTTTTGGGTCGTGGGCTAATCCTATGCATCCATCTTCCTCGCTAATGACAACTATGATGCTACACACCGTGGTGAGAGGGAACTATCACACCAGAAGAAAACAATCGGCTCAAAACTCACAGGCTACCTAGCCGCCCAATCGTCTATTCCAAATTCACAAACTAGATGCATGGCAATTGTAATCGAAGAGTGGCCAAGTCAAGGCAATTCCATTCATTTAAGCACACATGAGAACTAAGCCTTCGCACAATCCAAATGCACTCTCAATCATCTTAATAGGATGCACTCAACTATATGCAACAATTCAAGAACGATTCCAAATAAGCACGAGATTCACCATCCAATTGGCCATTTTGAACAAGCATTGCTTGGAGCCCTCAATTTTTTTTCAAATTTGGGAATACATCAAGGCTCCAAGCATTCAAAATCACACCAATCATTCACAAAAAATGCATAAAGGACTACCCCCCACACTTAAGCTTGACATTGCCCTCAATGGCGTATAATAGGGAAGTAGAACGATGTTAGCGGATATGAGGTGAATGTTGGTGGTCAAGATCGGAGGTCGGGCGAGATCCTGAAGAGCAAGGAGACGTCAAAACACCACTAAAATCTCTCCATTGGTCGTCTTATTGAAAGGAAAAGAGATGCAAACCGTTGATAGTTGGGTTGCCTCCCACCAAACACTTCTTTAACGTCCTGAGCCGGACGGTTGCTCCTCAAGTTTCGTCCAATCAAGAACCTCCTTGAAGTTGAGGTTCTCGTCGGTGAGGTGATGTCTCAAGTCACGAGCATTAGACGAGTCTATGATTGAGGGCTCGTGAACTTGAGTGGCTTTGAGGCTCCACCCATGAGACATTTTCTTCTTTCCTTCTTCCTTCTTCTCTTTGCCCCACACCATGTAGTGCATCATCGATTTACCACCATCGCATCCACCAAGAGGGATCGTCGATGGCTTGGCCTTGGCTTGGCAAAGAGCCGCAAATGGGTCCTTCTCTAAAAGCACGTCGAGGTCAGGTGGAAAGCTGTGTTTGCACTTGTAACTTGTTGAAGCTTCATCCACCACAACCTCGTCTTCATCTTGGACCTCACTTGCTCCTTCTACTTCTTTCTCAACCTCCCTTCCTTCTTCTTCAATTTCCTCCCCTTGGGAACACTCAAAATCTTCCCCCTCTTCAATGCTTTCTTCCTCCTCTTCAATCACTTCTTCCTCCTTCCCATTCATGTCTTCAAGCACGGTTTGGAGGGCAAGATGCCATGCAAGCTCATAGGAACGATTCTCTTGCTCCTCCACACTCGTGTCTTGGTCTTCAAAGTTGCTTTCGGGAAGCGGAAGATGATGAGAGTGGTCAATGCAATCTTCTTGTTCGTCCTCACCATGAGAGGTCTCTGGGGTGAGTTCCTCTAGCTTCATATGGTTGTCATTGAGCGCCCCTTCAACCTCCTTATTCTCCTCCAATAATGAGAGGCGATAGTTTTCACAAGCTCGTACCACTTTCTCTTCTAGTGTCAAACCGGGAGGAGGGAGGGGTTGGAAATCCATGGTGGAGCTCGTTCTTCCAAAATTCTCATGGCTCGTCTCTTCGACTTCCTCTCTTTCTTCCAATGGTAGGAGGCGATTGTGAGCAAGTTGTGCACATGCTTTGCTCTACAAGTCCTCCTAGCCTTTCCGTGCATCGACGGATCTCCTCCGCCTCCTGAAGAAGGTTGAGTCGATAGGGTTGGCGATTGGGAGGTCCATGCTAGCGCACCCTTCATTGGTGCCCCGAACAAATCGCTCCACCATGAACTCTAATTTTCTCTTTGGCTCCGGTTGTGGAGTAACACATGGTCTTGAGGTTTGTCCCATGAAAGCTTCCAAGGCCAACTCCAACTTGGATTTCACCTCGAGTTGTGGAGGGAAACCTTCTTGATATGGGGAAACTTTTTGGTATCCCCATGAGCATGGTTGCTCTTCGTGGAAGGGAGTTTGGTAGTAGAATCCGGATCCTTAACTTCCTCCTTCTTGATCCTCCCATGAAGTTCCGGGGTAACCACTCTCGGGTGTTGGTGGATACCCCCACACTTGGGCGAAATCATAAGGATCCATGATCCAATACCTACAAACACAAAACACTAAAAAGAAAAATCAAACACACACAAACCACCCTTCGAGACGAAGAGTGGTAAACAAAACACACATAAAACATAAATAAAAAGGCAAGATAGAAAATGCTAGAGTAACACTAAGCGACCTTCTCTAGATAACGGACCGTAAGGTACCCGGCAACGGCGCAAAAAACTTGATTCTCTCGGAACTACACTGCGAATTAATCCAGAATAGAGCCCAAGTTTTTAAACTCTAGCCTGGTGCAGTATAGACAAGTATTTAAATTGTCAACCCGGGCCGGTCCATGTACCCCTACTTCAATCGCATAAGTTGTTATCTAGAAAAACGGTTTTGAGTTTTCAAACTAAGAAAACTACAAACTAAACAAGCAATAAAGTAAATAAAGGAAAATTCTAACTAAGGGAGCTTCACCCAGGAGTTGCTTCCCCCTAACTAGCTACCAAGACTCGTTGGATTGAATGAAGTCATGTGGTGTAAGTGGTTGTGAACCGCGAGGGTGAGCAACTAGTGATCAATCCACTCACGACGTCTTGGGGAACCGCCAGGAGGAGCAACTAGTGATCCATCTGTCACGGGATGGATTCACTAGAGTTCGAATTGTCGTGGAATCGATCCTCTCACTCAGTCTCTAGGGGTTGCCTAGGTCTCTCCCTCAAACCGGAGTTTGAGCGGCTTAATCACGATTCACGACCAACCTAGATGCAAACTTGAATCAAGGGGGATGGTAATCTCTAACCTAGATAGTAGACACAAAGTTCCCAGGAAAACCAAACTTGTCAAGCCTACATAAAAATGTGTGGTTTTCCTCTAATCTAGGTTAGGCAAGCACACAAGATATGGAAAGAACAACTAAGCACAATCACCATGAAAACACCTCTAATACTCAAATTGATGCAAACTCATACAAAATCATTCAATCTAAACAAGTAATTACAAAATATTAGTTAGGGATCTACAACACCCAAGAGAAAATAGTGAGTTTCTAGAGAGAGAATAAAAGGATTACAAATTTGAGCTCAAGATCTTCTTCTTCTTCTTCTAGGCTTGAATCCTTGTCACCACCCAAGTCTCCAATGATGCTCCAAGATCACTCTAGCACTCTCTCTCTCTCTCTCTCTCTCTCTCTCACACACACACACACACACACACTAAAACTCCCCTTTGGTGTGTTTGGGCAAATCCTAGAGAGGGGATTGAATTTCTCTCCCAAAAACCAGCTCCCCTTTCTCTCTCCCCGCTGCTGTCTTCATATTTGCCCGAAAGTGACCAGTTCACGGCTGTGTTGGCCAGTTCACGGCCGTGAACACCTAAACACGTCCATGAACTCAGTGTCGTCCAAAACGCACCGCTTCACTCTCTTGGGTTCACGGTCAATGGCCCCAGTTGATGGTCTTAGAGACCGTGAACTTCCTTGACGTCAGTAACCTCTGAAACCTCGCTGGACTCCTCGATGTTCACGGTTTATGGTCCATGTTCACAGTCTTAGGAGATCGTGAACTGCCTTGTCCGACCGTGAACTGCGGCTATTTCCTGGACGCCTTCACTTCATTATTACGTGGCAATTGTCACGATCTTCGGACTTTTCTTCGGTTTTTGCGCTTTTTGACCTCCAATTATCCCAAAACTCGTCCTCGACCCTTCCACACATGCTAGGACCTGAAATGTATCAAAACAAGCACAACCTAGCGTGAAATATGTTGAAAAACGATGACATACTAAGCTAAACGAATAAAAAATGAGGGATAAAATGTGTACATTTGGACTCGAATCAGACACCAAAAGATAAGTAAGTGATCGAGATTAGTTTTTTTTTTTTTACATTAATCGTCCTATTTGATTCATGATTTACCGCACTTGTTGGGTTAGTTACAGGCCAGTCCTTTGCCTATTTCCCTTTCGGAGGGCACCCTAAATGGGCCTGCGTAGCAGCACACGCCCATTCTAATGCGCATAACTTAGGGATGCATTGGGCCAACAGTGATCCGGAACGAGAGGGGGCAAGCATGTCATTTTAGCTCCACAGGCCACTAGGGTTTTGAGTTCCATTTATTTAGGTTATAAACCTAAATCGATACTCTGGCCACATTTTCGCCGCTTCTTCCAATCTCTCTGCATCCTTCGACTGGTAATTTCTCGCACTCCGTCTTGCTTCTCGATTTCTACTTTCTCCTGCATGTCCGCGTCGTTATAGGTTCTATCTCGCTTTTCTTGGGTTGTTGTTGTTTATTTCCCCCTTTGACGTGACGGCTGGATGGATCTGGTTGCAGACCGAGAGAGAGAGCCAAGATGGTTGAGAAGACGAGGATCAGGAAAGAGGAGGTGGTGACCAGGGAGTTCACCATCAACCTCCACAAGAGGTTGCATGGCTGGTGAGTTCTGTTTTCTTGTTCCCTGCGACCTTCATTTTCTTGGGTATCTGGAAGTTTTCGGATTTGCGGTTTTATTCAGCGGGATGCTATCTTAACTGTAGGGTTTTGTTAGAGTTTCTGTATGGGCTTTGTAGCTTGAGGGATATTAATTCAGGACCCCGATGATTCGGTTTAGAGTTAGTTTTTAGCTGAATATAATAGTGTTAATCCTCCAATCTCCACCTGGTGGTTTGTTGGATTATCCAAATCGTATTAATCCAGTTTCAATGGTGAGGATGGTAGGAGTCATGAGTTTTATGCTATGATCAAAGATATACTTTTCTGGGATGATGATGAAATGTGAGAATGGGTCTGAGAGTTGGGAAGACGCAGATAAGGGGTTTTATCAAACCTTGATGATCACTGATCTAAGCATGTTCCTTGTCAATTTGCTGTACAAAGTATTAGGAGTGTTTCATTGTGGTGGCCTATGTCCATATTAGGTTTTTGGAGTAAGGTCGAGCTGGTGATTAGCTTGAATGTCCCCTTGGCAATATCAAGGTCCTGCACTATTGTTCAGATTTGTGGTTTCCCTCTGGCCTTGAGTATCAGAGGTTAACTTTGTGCAATCTATAGATGGTGTTTAATGGCCCTCCTTGCTTGATCCTTTCATTATGCTGCCTCATGTTCGCCTGTCTCTTATGTTTCCTAGTTTGTAAATTTCAATCCAATCTATCATGTCTATGGTAGACTCATGTGCTCACTTTTTTGTGACCTGCTGTCATTGGACTTTCTTGAACCAACATTTTCAATTTGAAGACCTTTGGTGGGTCTGCTCAATTTCACTTATACTGAACTCTTGAAATTTCTATTTACCAGCACCTTCAAGAAGAAGGCTCCCAAGGCCATTAAGGAGATCAGGAAGTTTGCCGAGAAAGCCATGGGAACAAAGGATGTGAGGGTGGACGTGAAGCTGAACAAGCAAATCTGGAGCAAGGGAATAAGGAGTGTTCCAAGAAGAATCAGAGTTCGCATTGCACGGAAGAGGAATGATGATGAAGATGCAAAGGAGGAGCTCTTTTCCCTTGTCACTGTTGCAGAGATCCCTGCCGAAGGACTCAAGGGGCTGGGCACAAAGGTCATAGAGGAGGATGAGTAATCTGTGTCGCTCTGTGTTTCTGTCAGGCTGTGGTTCTAGGTTTTTGAAGAAGTTTTGTCCTTGTTTGAGGATTCGGAGAACAAGCCTAGGCTTTTGTTGGTACAAGTTGGATATTGTCAAACCATAATTGCCATTTGAAAGTAGTGAACCTAATGATATTTTACTGTTGAATTTCTAGCACATAATGGCCATCGAGAGTGCAATCTGCAGAAAATGTCGCGCATGTTAATGATCTGGTTGAAGTGCTTGTATTATTATAGGTGGTATCATTGTATTGATGGTATAGGGAGCTCTTGTCGATGGTACTTAATTCGATCCAAACCTTTGCGACAACACGATTTCTTGTACCTTTTCCTCTGGTTCTTTCGTTGGCGATAGTCGGATGATGTTGTCCCGGAGGTCTCTCGGCGGGAGGCAGAAGTCGGCTGGCTCGGGGAGGGTTGATGGGAGGTTCTCTTCCTCTTCCCCTCTTTTCGGGTTCGGTGGAGTTTCCCCTATGCTTGGTGTTTGACGATGGTGGCAACGGCGGTTGGGCGACCAAGCAGCGGTGGAGAACTCGGCGGCGGCGGTTAGGGTTTCAGAGGGGGTGGATGGGTGGCTAGGGTTTGATACTTTCCATTTGGGCTTGCCCCGATCGCATTTTTAATGAAACTCTCTTTAAAAAAAAAAAACACTATAATGGCCAGTCGAGCATGGAAAAAATTAATTATATTGTGGGTTAATTGCTCACTAAGATTACTGAAAACTTTCATGTTTAGTCATTAAAAATATTTAATTTCATTAATGGTCACTAAAATTACTAAGACATTTCAAGTTCGGTCACTCTTCGTCCAACTTCGTTAACTTTGGCTGATGTGGCAGTCAACTATTAAAGTTGACCGTTAAATGTGTGACAAGGCCATTAAAAAATAATATAAAATTAAAAAATTAATATTTTAAAATTGTCACATAATTAACATATTAATTAAATAATAAAAATAACTTATTTTCTTTTCTTCTAATCCCCATATACCCGACAAAAAAAACTCACCTCTCAGCTTCCCCCGCCGACCTCCCACTCAACGTCGCCGCCACTAAATCTCTCCGCCTCCAATGCCCGTCTCCTCCAAACTTCCTCTCCGGTCTTCTCTCTATCCTTGTCCCACTCATACTAGTTTCCTTCCTCTCCCTCTCCTCATCATCATCTAGCTTTGCCTCCTCTCTAGCTCTCTCAACTTCTCCGCCTCCAATGCATTCCCCTTCTTCTCTGGCATACAAACTCAAAGACTTCTCAATTCTCCAAATTCCCTCTCCAGCTAGCTAATCATTTTTTTAGCCACTAATTTTTATTATTATTAGCAACGAATACAAAAGAGAAATGGAGATGATCAACGCGCTGCTGGAAGGCTGTCTCTCCTCAATCCTCTATTTTACTTCCCCACAAGACGCCTGCCGTTCGTCAAAGCCTCAAAGGTATCTGTCGAGTTCCAATCCGCCGCCGACTCCAACGCAGTCTGAGAGAACTTTATCCCGTCCGATTAGCTGAGCATTGTCGCCGATTCCGTTCCCGCCCCCCATTCTCCTCCAAGAAGGAGCTCTACCGCAAGCTCTGCGACTCTGTTCTCGTCGAAGGCGGCCATAAGGTAGGTTTTCCTTTTGTAAATCAATTTTCTTTTTGCGGACTTGATTGAAGGAATTCATTAGATGGCGACGACGACGACGAGTGGGAGGTCGACGGGGAAGCTGAGGTTTTTAACATTTTATATAGGAGATAGCAGATAGGGGTTGGGTCGGGTATATGGGGATTAGAAGAAAAGAACTTTTTTATTTTTCAATTAATATGGTAATTAGGTGGAAATTTTAAATTATTATTATTATTTTTTAATGGCCGCGTCACACATTTAACGGTCATTTATAAAAGTTGACTGCCACAACTGACAAAGTTAACGGAGTTGGACGGAGAGTGACCGAACTTAAAATGTTTTACTAATTTTAGCGACCACGAATGGAATTAAATATTTTTAGTGACTAAACATGAACGTTTTCAGTAATTTTAGTGACAAACCTTGTAATTAACCCATTAACAAATTATATCAAATCTCATCTAGCATATACGAAAAAATTAATTATATTGTCCACATGAATAAATTATATCAAATCTCATCTAACAAATTATATCAAATCTCATCTAGCATATACGTTATAATAATATATAACACTACAAAATAATAGTTTGTACTTAATTCCAACTTACAGTAAAATTTAAACACAGTTAAATCCACCATATAAGTTCGTGATTAGCACTTTGAATGAATTAGAGCAACTTGAGGAAAATAGATAGAACTCGTATGAGTTCGAACTCATCGGTTGTGCTTTTACACCAAATTATTGAAATCCCAAGATTACAACACGCTTATATTGACAATCGATTATTGAAATTTAAAATGATTTATACAAAAGCACATCAAATGCTAATCACACTACGGAACAAAAGGGGTTTGACCCTAACTAAGCAAACTGCAGGAGGGAAGGTTATTTATCCCATTCTGGCCCAGTGAAAGAAAGCTACGGAGGCGGCTTATGGCGTAGTTATCATAAACGACCATGGTCAAGTTGTTGACGGGAAGGCCGAGACTATGCACTGTTTATCTCCAATCGAAGCAGAAGCAAAAGCTTTACTGGAGGGGACCTTGGCAGCAGTTGATCTCAATGCCACTTGCCTGATTTTGTCGTACTGTCTGGGGCTGGTGAAGGCCCTCCAGGGACACCCGAAAGAATGGCCATGGCGTGCTGCTGCCAACCTGGGAAGAATTTTGCTACTGACCAGACTCTTCCCCAATATCAGAATTGACTGGATATGCAGGAAGAGGAACTCGAAAGCCGACTGGGTGGCCAGATCGTGCGCCAGAAATCAGCTCCCCGCGGACTGGGTCCAGATTCTTGATATTGTTTCACCTCTGCTGTAACTCGACCTTTTGCTTCATTTGGAATATATTCAAGTACCCTTGTTGTAAAAAAAAAAAAAGAAAGAAAGAAAGCTACGGGTGAATTTGATATGAAGTGGTGGCAGTGTTGGATTTGTCCTTGTGAAAGCAACGAAAATGGCCTTGTGGAATGAAAGTTCGTTGACCAGTTTTGTTGGGTTAAAGCTGGTTTTGATCGAGTTCTGACAAGATTGAAGTCAATTTTGACTGCGTTGAAGCGTGCTTGACGAATTCGCGCAAAGTCCAAAATATGTGTGCAGTGCCCTTTTTCCCACCGGGTCCGGGGTCAATCCAAAGGCCGACCTTGGATTAACAACTTCAGTGCTAAGTGCTAACATCTTATGTATTAACATCATGCTAACAATAATTAACATGGATATTTTAGTTTTTATCACTGCTACTGTTGTTATTCTTCTCACATTATCTCCTTGCGGATCCTCCAACAGGCACCGCAAGATGACGAGTATGCATCAATTACTCTCATCTTGCCAAGGAACTCCAACAACCTGTACTTTCATGGAAAATAAAGTTCTCGACTATGTGAATTGGTCAGAGGTATGAAGATGATGAAATTTGATTAATACTTGTTTTGATTCTCTCCTTAGCAATGTAGTCAAAATGGCATTTTAAAACTTAAAAATTTACGCTTTTACGCTTCTAGGTCACCAAAACTTTTCAAAGCAAAATCGTAGTTTTTATAAGTTATAACTAATGTAGTTAAAACACGCTTAAAAGTTTAAAAACTTACGGTTTTAACCTTCTAGATCACCAAAATGCTTCTACGTAGAAACACTCTTTTGACTACATTGCTCCTTAGTGACATGCATATCGATCTCGATATGCTTATTTTTTTCATGAAAAATAGGGTTTACGGCTATGTGAATTGTGGACCTATTATCACTATAAATTGTAATGGGAAAAGTGACATGTACTCCAATTTTGATTACATCCGTTTCAACCAATTAATTTCACACACCAGATAAGCTAGAGCTTGATAATCTGCTTCTATTGAAGACCTTGAAATGATCGTATGTTCTTGCTCTTCCATGTAAGGAATGGGTTTCCAAAATAGGTGCAAAAACTTGTGATGAATCTCCTTGTATATGGGCATGCTGCCCAACCTGAATCATTGTAGCGTTGTGTTGCTTGCATATAAGTGTTGAAGGGGGGGTGTTACCTTGAAATGGACTCAATTGTTCCATACTACAACGTATATCTGGTCTAGTGATGGTTAGGTAACAATTAACCTTCTGTAACACCTAGAATCATCTAATGGAGTTCCCTCTTTAGAAATCAGTCTTACCTTCATGTCATTGAGGTCTATGTCTCTTTAGCATTGCATAACATGTGTCTTCTAGTAAGTCAGTGCAATAATTTCATTGGTTGACAACTATTCCATCAGTACACTATCTCTATTCCCATGAAATATTTCAAAACACCAAGATCCTTAATCTTGAAACTTCTAAATTCAAATACAACTTCACTACTTCTAGACCATCTATCTATTCTCCTGGCAGAATAATGTTATCTACATACACTAGTAGAAGGACACTCATTCCTTATTTCCTTGTACCTTTTTTGTGAACTCATATAATAGTTTGAGGCTTGTTGTGAAAATCCATTTTCTAACAAAGAACAAGTTAGTTTGGCAAACCATTTAGTTTGGCAAACCATTGTATACTAGTTTGTTTTAATCCATACAAAGGATTTTCTGGTATACACACCTTAACTTCACTTCCTTTCAGTCCATATGGTGGTGACATATATACTTCCACATCCAAGTCTCCATGCGCATTGAATAGATTCATATGTTGGAAAAATAAATTTTTAGAGGCTACCATTGTTAGAAGAGTTTTTACTGTATTCAATCTTTGCCACTGATGAGAAGGTATCCATGAAATCAATAACATAAATTTTTGTAAAACTCTTGGACTGACCTGGCTTTGTGCCTTTCAATTTAATCATCAACCTTATTTTTGAAATACCACTTACATCCTATGGTCCTTTTTCAGGTGGTAATGTAACTTGATTTCAAATTAGATTTTCAGTCAGTGCATTCAACTCTCCTTCCTTAGCTTTAATGCAACGATACTACATTTAGGAAATATAGTAGTATGTAAGGTTGTATCCCCCTGCCTGATCATCAGTTCAAATACTCAAGTGTTCATATTTTAGCCTTCCTCGTTCAAATTCTTGCTTTGAGCTTAGCTGCTTCCACATCAGCTTCTCAAATCTTTCTATAGCTCCGCTTCGACGATTATCGTTGTCACTTAGGCTTCTTAGACCATCTCCAAGGTTGGAGTGAGAGAGTGGAAACTAATACCCATTTTCCCTCCAACCAATCAAGAAAGGGTTATTGATGGTAGAAAAGGGGATGGAGAATTAATACCCCAACCCATTTTTTCTAAGTACCCAAGCCGATCAAAGAGAGACGCGCGGGTACAATGTGTGTATTTATTTTTTTATGTTTGCTTTAAAATTTTGTTTGTTTGTTGTGATATTTGGAAACTAACATAAATACATAAAAACGATTAGAAAAAAGGTCATATTTAAATCATCTTATTCTAACAACCATAAATTTTCTGTACATTTGGATACTCATCCTCACTAGTTGTGCACAACAAATTTAACATCTTATTCCAAAGTTCTCTGATTTCCAATCTGGTTTATCAACGTACCCTTTTATTAGAGCCCAATTATGCACAATAACACCCTAATTAGAGCCCAAGTTTTTAAACTCTAATCGGGTGCAGTATAGGGTAAGTATTAGATATCGACCCGGGCCGGTTCGTCTATGCCTACTTCCGTTGTTGAAATCATTATCTAGCAACAAAACTTTGGTTTAAAGGTTTGCTAATTGAAATAAAAGAAATCAAAGGTGATTGGGTTTGAAAACACTTTTGTGGGGAAGTCACTCGAGTGTCGCTTCCCCCTAACCGCTACCATGCTATGTGAATTGGAACGATGCCTTTGGGCACGATAATCGCGAATCTCAGAGGGATGCATACGTGGTCGGAGACCGCATCTCAATTGTTAAACCGAGGCAAGGATGAAAGGCCGTGTCACTCGACGCTCTCGATTTAGACGATTGGTAATTTGACTTACTCCCTCACTCAACTCTAAGGTTGGACGATTTAGTCACGATTAATCGACTTGCTTAACTCAATATTGAGGGTCGCCCTAACTTAGCCTAGTTTAGGTGGCTTAGAAAGCGGAAGGAAAACCAACTTGATTGAGTCTCCCTTGAAATGGGGTTTTTACTCTCTAAATTAGGCTAAGGTGATAAATTAGATTACTAGCACCTAAATGCACAAACCTAGGGGTGCTAAGCACAATTATGCACAATCCTTAGGTTGCTAAGCACCTAATGGGTCGTTTGCTTCAAGGATTTGGTACATGGATTTGGTACCAAAAAACCAACTATCAAGGATTTAGATACAATCCTTTGTTTGCTTGCACCTTTTTTGGAGACCAAATCCGTGGGGCCCACGGATTTTAAGGGTCCAAATCCGTGGACCCCACAGACTTATAAATCCCACATGTTGATGTGGGATTTGGAATATGGCATAAATCCTTGATGACATTTTACCCATATACCCTCATGCAATTTTAATATTCCAAGGTTGCCCTCAAATTTAACTATTATACATTATAATTAACAATAAATGAATAATATAAACGTTCAATTAATGTGAAAACATGAGTTAGATTTTTTATATCATTTCTTGTGTTCTAGTTTTCTTTGACTTTTTCATGGAACGTGTAATTCTTTGTTCTCCCGATTCTAATATGTAGTTATATGTTACTTTTGAAAAGGAGGACAAAGAATTGGTAATTGATTATGTTACGTTAAAAGTTAAAACGGAATTTTCTCGTTTATTATTATTGTCCATGTGGCAACATTATGTTTATTAGTATGTATTGTCCTTGTTTTGTGTACATATCATAAACATGTCAAACATATAGAAAATGATAGTAAGGTAATTTTGAAGTTTTGTCCTTGTTTTGTGTACATATCATAAACATGTCAAACATATAGAAAAGGGCAGTAATGTAATTTTTGACTTCAAGTAGTAAATCCCACACCTTTAAATCCATGACAAAAACATCCCAACAAACAAAGGATTGTTACAAATCCCTGATGCCTAAAATCCTTGATAAATCCTTGGGTTTTTAAATTACAAAACCCTCGTTTATAAATCCATGAAGCAAACGACACCTAAATGCACAAACCTAAGGATGCTAAGCACAAAACATGCACAACCCCTAAGTTTCTAAGCATAAGCATGCACAATCATGGTGAATAATGCCTCAATCATTGAATTGAACAATACCCAATGACAATCATCCAAAACACATACAAGAAAACTACATGGTAGAGTTAGGGTTTCACTACACCCAAGTGAAAGGAGGTCTACTCCATGCTAGAAGTGGGAAGAACAAAAGGGAAAAAAAGGTGGAAACCATCTTGGAGGATGCTCCCAATCTTCTTGACCCTTGAGTTGAGCTTTCCTTGGGGGAAATCTTCCCAAAAGTTTCCTTGAAGCCAAACTCTAACCTTCTTCTTCTTCCCTTTAGTTCTTTTTCTTTCACTAGAATGCTGAAGAAGGTGTTTCACACAAAAGTGGGCTCTCTCCTCTCTCCTCTCAGCTCATCTTTTAAATCCGAGATGAGATGAGTTAACGGCCTGAGTTCACGGCCGTGAACCATCAAACGCGTCCGTGAACTCAAGGCGTGCGCCAAAACGCTCCGCATCGCTCACGTCTGTTCACGGTCAACTGCCTGTGTTCACGGTCTTAGTGATCGTGAACTCACCTTGCGTCAGTAACCTTCACATTGGCTCTGGACGTCCCTTGATTCACAGTCAACTCCCCTTCTTCACGGTCTTGCATGACTGTGAACTCCTTCAGTTAGCCGTGAACTGACTCTTTTTTCACCTCTTCTCCTGGTTTTCGATCCTTTTCGCCAATCTTTCGACTCCGAGGCTGGTTTCACTTGTTAAATCCCAAAACACACTCAAACACGAAGAACCTAGCGTAAAACCAGCCTTTTAGGAGCAAATTTGGCACAAACATCTAAGTACAACGGGGCAAAACTAGGCCCGAATCGGTTACAGATAAGTAAAGTTTATGCATATCAAGTCAACATAAAAAATTAGGGTATTAGATTTCAGAGTTGTATGGTTTGGTTGGAGTGAAAATGTGAATTGAGAATGAAAAAGTGAATAGTTAATAGGAAATGTGTTAGATTACGTAGTTGTTATGGTTGGAGTTGGTTTTAGTTGGTCAGTAAGCCGAGTTGAATCTGATGGTTTTGTGTCAATATTAAGGTTGACCATAACTCAAGGGTTAAAAGTGCATATATAAAAGCCTTTTACTCTTAGCC